ACGTTTCCCAGCTCGTCCTATACCCTCCGCGCCCTTTCGCTACTACAGCCACCCTCTGCACCCTTCCTCTTACTCTAAATCTCCGTTGTTTATTGCAAATGGATTCCGCATCATGATGCCCGGGTGGCTCGACGACCCTATTCAAATGCGTGTTGCCCGCCCATCCCGTTTACAGGGTTGTTATTGCGCGGGGCTGATTGCCCCCGCGAAATCTTCCGAATAATTTATTTTCTGCGATAAACGACTACGTCGACGCTGCAACTGCGGTCACGGCCGACGTCATCATCGCCCCAGTCGGTCTCGCTCGCTCGAAATCGCTTGGCGGCTCCCGCGGATTTCTCGTATAATCGGGGGGATCAGTCAAGTCGCTCGGAAGATGAGAAAAATTGAGCAGCTTCCGCGGCCTACGTGTATTACGCGCGTATTAGAAATAATGCGGTTGGGCTATTAGCGCTCTCGGCCGTGTGTCCGAGTGTCCAGTTGAGTAGCGCTTTACTCTGTTATTTCTTCATCCCATCTCCCTCACTCTCTCTTTGTTCGCTTGGCTCTATACTGGACCAGCACTGACCTTGGTAGCTCTGCCAAAATGCGGACGCTTGCCCGAGGTCCAGTCCCGTGTATCCCCATGCGTGTTTCTCCGGGGATGATTGACTCTCCCGATACTGCTGGCTCTGTTGCTGTTGCTGAAGGGGTTGTGGCGTCTGTTGCTGTTGCGAGGGCTGCTGCTGCGTCTGCGAATGGACCGGACTCTCCTCGGGTGGTTCCGTGCTCGTGCGTGCTTCCGCCGTCACGTTTTCTGCAAACAGATCAAGGAGTCGTCACTCTACTGCACACGCAACACGCATAACACACGGATTCGCATTCCTAAGGGTTCCTCAGGCAAATTTCATTCTACGATCCAGCCGCGGACTTTCTACCTAGGCCTATATCTGCCCCGTCGAATAGGGGTGGCCTCCCGTTTCGTTTGATTTGAAATTAATATCGCGACTCCCTGCCACTGACAGGGTTAATCAGCCGGCGAAAACGGCAAGGTTCTACGAAACGTTATATATCGGAATGAGAGATTTCACTTAAAGGGTTTCGTGTTTGAGTTTGGTAGTGACAGGGAGGGAGGCTGGGAGGCCGAGAGATTCGGCTCGGCTGGGGTTGAGACAAGAAGCAAGACGTTCGTCGTTCCAAGAGGAGGGACGGCGCTGAAGGAAGCGACGGTGGTTGGTTGCCGGGGATTGGGATTCGGCTGCTGCCGGCTGGCTAAGTAAGGAATCGTATTCTGCCGGGTGTCAGTCTGTTTGCTCTGTCTGACGAATTAATTAATTTCTCCTTGGAGATTAGGCGAATTGGCCCCGGGGCCTGGATATTCTCCGCGGTTCCATTTCGACCATTTCAAAAGTATTTTTTTTTTGTCAATGTCCTCAAACTATCGCAACCCTATCCAGAAAGTGGTAAGACCCTCGCCGTCACTCTCTTACCTGTGATCGCCCTGACTTGCTCGGACGAGGCGCCTGTTGCCTTGAGTGCGTCCTCCAGCTGATTGCGCCTCTTGATCTCCAGATCCAATTGATCCTGAAGACGCTTCCTCGCCCGACGCTCCTTCTTCAGTCGCTTCTGATACGCCACTGCAACAAAACAACAAGAGGAACGGGCGTTAGCTCGACACGCTGCGATGATCTCTGCGGGACGGACGCGTGCCAGGAGGATCGTTAGGACGAACCCTGTGTCCCCAGGTGGTGGAACCCTGTCGAGGATCCGACCACGCTTCGAATTATCTCCGCGTATCATTCGACCGCAGGGGGTTCCACGGGTTTCAGTGCGTCTCAGCGCAGGGGGCCTTGGAAGTCGCGCTCAGCCTCCAGGCAGGGGTCTGATGGTTCAGTGGCTACCGGCTACGATCCAATTCTCACCTGTCCCAGGTCAGCCTTTGCTTTTTCCCTTTTAATTCTCTTTCCCCACCTTCCCTCCCTCCCCCCCCTGACCACCGGCCGATGATCGATCGCGACCTCGCGCAGTCCTCGAGGACTCTGTCAAAGCGGAGGACGTCGCCTTGGACACAGTGACGAGTGCGGGAATAAAGGAAGTCAGAAAAGAAGCTTCGAGAAGGAAAATAGGAAATAACGAATGGAAGAAGCGAGCGAGCGAGGGCGTCGCATTGTCCGGCGTTTCGCCTCAGGTTAACCTCAGAGCCGTGTCGAGATCGCGGCCACATAAAGTAGATGCACCGTGCATGTGGAGAATGAAGTCGGGGGGAGTGGCGGCGGGTGGGGAACAAATAAGTGTGAGTCCCAGCGCACGGGTGAACATTCTCATGCACAGAGCGATCGGTTCGATTGGCCGTCCCCGACGCGGCCCCTTTGAGCTGCTGGCTGCTCTCCTTCTGCTCGCTTTAATTATTTTCCGTCATTGTGAACCGGCGCGTCCGGCCATTGTGTCCCGCGCGTTTGCCAGAGTCTTTCCGATGCCACGGCGCGGCCACGGCACGTCGAGTGGATCCGCCGGTGCCGGAGCGCGCTTTGTTGTCCAGATGGAGGATCCCTTTTGATCGGTGGCCCCCTTCCTCCCCCCTGGTGCCATCCCCGGTCCAATCGGTGGCACCAGGGTCGACCCGCGAAACAGAGCGAAATCTCGAGCCAAAGTCGGAGGGAGCAATACGTCATCCTCGCGCAGCATCCTCCGTACGGTTTTCTTGCGCGTTGGCCCACAGTAAGTCCCCGCCCGTTGGGCCCTTTCGACATGCAGAGAAGACGAGGAGTCCCGACAAAAAAGTCCCTTCGTCACGAACGTGACTGACCGGAGGACGAGGAGCGCGTCTCGTTCCGCAGCCTCGGCTATCATCCTGATTCTTGCTGGACCATCATGCTGATGGCTGTGGCCATTGGATATTCTGCTGCACAAAGGAGTCGCGGACTCCGAGTGATCTCGTCCTCTCGAACAACTCCAATGAATTTGTATCCCGATCTGGACCACTAGGTACGCTCGTTATCGAGGCTACTCGAGGAAAAAGTGAGGATCGGCCCGATTCCCCTTTTGTCCAGGGCCGAGGGGAGCGATCGGATTCGCGGGGCGTCCCGACGCCGACGCGTACGGCCTTGACGTCGCGGAGGTCCTTTCCCTGAAGAGTGGCGGGAAGCGGGAAGCGGTAGCGGCGTGCACGTATGGTTTAAGATTACTTTCTCTGACAGGAGATGGTAGCCCAGGCGCGTAGGTGCTGCGTCGCCGTGGGCGTCTTGCGCTTACGACGCTACGCGCCGGAATAGCGCGGGACTATCGCTAGCCGAGAGCAGCAAAGGTGGTAAGAGCATCGGCTATAGGCGCGTATCCGGTGCTGGTCTCAGGATCGTAGAATCTGAACACGTGCTATGCGATAGCCTTAAGGATTATGGGTAATATTTGCCCCTGCTGATCGGTAGGTGCAGCGATACTTCGATATTGCTGCAAAAGGATAGGTTAATGCACCGAGTGCACCGAGCGCTCCGATTGGCTCGAAGTGACCGACAATCGTTGAGAACCTCTGGGTTGTGATTGATTCCCGGCAGACAAGGCGCAGACAACCCTTTGGCTCTCCTCGCCATTCTATCTCTCACTGTCTCGTCGTCTCACCGTCCGTGGCCCTCTCTCTCTCTCTCTCTCTCTCTCTCGCCGCGCGGAATAATACTCAAAGATCTTTCTGCCGCCCTCCGAGCAGGTCCCTTCGCGGGAGCGACGGACGAGGGGGGAGAGGGAATCCGTGGAGGCAGAGGAGGACCGGGGGTAGAGGGACCGAGAGCGCAGCATTATGATGCAAAGATGGCGCGGTGGCGGCACCCTAGAATTAGCCTGAGCACTCGCCATTGGTCGCCCGGCAAACCACTCCTTCGGTAACAACCGACTGCATACGTTGCATACTAAGGATGCACGCGAACCGGCAAGGAATTGCCCGTCCTTTCCCTTCGTGTGTCGAGACTCCTGAGTGAGCCCTCTCGCTCCTCCAGCATGTCCGCCGCGACGCCGCGACGCCGCGTCGTCCATGACTCTGGACCTTCCGTCGTCCACGACTTCCCGAACTTCCACGTCCGGGCTCCCCCTCGACTCCCCCGGCCCCGTTGGCCCACCTAGAACCTACCGCAACGGCTACCTAGAACTAGACTCCTCGTTCCCCGAAGAAGACGAGGGAACGGAGGGACGACTGTTTTTCCGTGATCACCGCTGACGACCCGGGTGAGTCTTTCGCAGCCAACCAAGAGAGGCCGGAACGCGGACGACCGTAAGAGGAGTCTTTATGCCGCGGATGATTTGCGAGCGGGAGATGCTCGATTACTTTTAGTTAGCAGAGACGATGGCTCTCGCATCAGGGTCAATAATTCCTCCGGATGGAACGAGCTCCCTCTTTCTTTCCTTCCTCCAGATCGCTCCCGCCCCTCTGCCTCTCGCTCTCTCTTCCGCCGGGTATCTTCCAGTTTTTCTACCTTCTTACTGGGATGTAACTGACGTGCAGCCGTAAAAGTTGCGCCAAGCAAAACACGAGACACCGTCGGGTCTACAGCGCGCAGAGTGATTACGGCCCAGTATCGGCCCTGCCGATAATCGGACGATTTTTCTCAGCTTCCTCGGAGACTAAGATTAGGAGGACTGGGGAGGTCGCGACCCCGTTGAACTCGTAGGATCAATTGTTAAGGACAATCCACAGAAGTTATCGCCCGCTGAGTGAATCCTCCTTTAGATTCCCATTCTAGTCGATGATCTCAGGCGGACCCGATGCAGATCGAAGATAGACCAAGTGCCGATCGTACTCGGAGGGGTCCGAGGGATGAGCTGGAGAATGGAGCTCCAGGAAGGGTGGTCCATTAGATAATGCAGTCAACAGAGAGCAGCCTCTCATCAGGCACGTCAAAACACATCAGCTACCGCTGTGCGCTCACTCAGAAATCCCGGCGACCCGCGACCCGCTGTCGCTCTCCACGCTGGACCCTGGATGCTGGACGTCGGGACTCCCCACGTCGTTGTCCTCCTCGTTCTAGAGATCACAGATAGACTCTCCCTCACGAATCGATCATTCGATTACCGATCCGTCATTTCCATTCCGATTATCAAGTACAGCCAGTATATGCATATTTATCTCCCTATGCCCTATATCGATCTGCTAGATTCGACTTTTAATTCTGTCGGTTTCCACGGGCGCGACGAACATCGGGCTATCGTCCATTCTCCGTCGTGACGTCTCGCTGTCGTTATCTTATATTTAAGAGATTTTATAATTTGACGTGTCTCACTTTAAACTGCTTTGCTCGTGGACTGTCCGCAGTATGTAAAGAGGAGTACAGGCGCGTCACAGGCGCGTTACAGCCCATGACACGCAGGGCCTACACACACGGTGGCCCTCGAATGACTGGAGCATAACCCCTATCTCTCAACGCGTTGTCTTGCAAACAATCAAAAGCCAGTAGCAACATGGCCGAATCTAATCAGGCCTGTACAAACTAATATAAGCGGTTGTACACAGCATGTCTTACGCCAGCGGCGACTGTATTTAATACGCGAAGCTCCGGCCCCGACTACGGGAATAGCAATATGATTTACATTTTGTGGTTATATTGACCATTCCCGCCACCTGCACCAACCGTCCCGACGCCCGAGGCGGTGCTAAGAATGACCGGGTTCTTCGGGAAAATTAATATCGGGCCTGGGACTCCCACCCCCGGGCACCTCTGGGCACCGGGTTCGTTAAACGCTCGAAAACTCTCGTATACCCGACTATAGATATTTATTCCTTATACTTTTCTAGCGGGTGTCCATCTCGAATCATCGGCAGTATGGACCGACAGTTTCATCCGCTTCGGAATGTATCTTGGGCTTGGCTCTTGAAATCTCTAACCCACGATGAGTCCTCTAACTAGGCGCAACCCTCTCTTTGGCGCAATTGGGGTTCTCAGGCACCCACTGGAGGAACCTGTTCCGCGTTGTTCTGCCCAGGAACAGCATCTGTGCTCTACGGCCCGATATCCATACAAAGCCGTCTGCTGAATAATATTACACTTAACCCGTACCACTCGGATGATTATAGTTGGAGCAACGTCGATAGTAGTTAGAGCGTGCATCCTGTGGAATGCTAATTCGACGTGTGTCTCGCAGGCCGTTCGATTGTCCGAAAGAGGGTGTTAAAAAGGGATGAGAATAGGAAGAAGCGGATGAAAAAGATGAAATTTAAGGGCAAGGGATTTCTAGGTTATCTCTCACTCGTCCCTCTCCTGCTTTCCATTCAAATATCAATTTCCCAGTGACAACTTTTCGCCCAGCATTTTCCTTCTCTCTCCCCTCCTTTTTTCCCCGGCCATATGGAAATGGAGATCGGTCATCGGAATCCAGTTTGCCAGTAGAAACATCCCGAGAGGGTCAGCTTTATCCGCTTCCCAGCCTCACGACCGTTTCATCCCTTACCACCAAAAAAAAAGCATCCCTCATAACCCCACGTATAGCCTCCAAGCCTGCTTTCAATATAAACTCAAAAGCTTCTCGCTTTTACATATTATTCTTACATCCATCTTCCGCTCGAGTCGCAATGGGATATGGATTCAAAGGAATTTCATCCCTTCTGGGCTTCTTAGAGTCGGCCAATCGTCCAGCTAAATCGTATAACGGATCGATC